GGGGACCCTTATGTACTCTTTTTGATTTAAAACAAGTACCTACACTATGGAAATCTGCCAAAGTAACAGCAATTCTAAAAAAAGGCGAACCATCTGACTGCAGCAATTATCGACCAGTTTCTTTACTCAGTATCGTATCTAAAATTTTCGAAAAATGTGTCTACAAAAATGTCTTTTACTTCCTGAGGGAAAACTCCATTATTACTAATCTGCAAAGCGGTTTTCTTCACGGCGGATCAACAACATTTCAACAAATAGATCTCTCTCACTATTTTTGTCAAGCCATCGACCAAAACTCATATACAAGGGCAGTTTTCTGTGACATCAGCAAAGCTTTTGACAGAGTTTGGCATGCTGGGCTCTGTCATAAGCTTGGGGCTGTGGGCATCAGAGGAAACCTACTTGAATGGTTTAAAAACTATTTATTCCATCTCAATCAAAGAGTAGTTGTAAGTGGAGTTTCCTCTGAGCCTAAAACAGTCCCAGCTGGTGTTCCACAGGGCTCTATCCTTGGACCATTACTATTCCTTCTTTATATTAACGATATTGTGAAACAAATCAAATCTAATATCCGACTTTTTGCAGACGATACGTCTCTTTATCTGAAAATTGATGATCCGAATGCTTCCGTTGAGGTACTTAACCATGATTTAAACACCATCAATAACTGGGCAAAAACATGGCTGGTATCCTTAAATCCCTTAAAAACAGAAACACTTGCACTTACTACTAAATCATAAACATTATTTTATCGAAAACCGGCAGGATGATTAATTGTATCAGATCTTTAAAATACCGACTTTGCAGGAAATTCTTTCTTACATACCCCTTTTATTCTCCCACACTTCGACTACTGCGACATAATTTGGGATGGGTGCATTGCCGAACTAACAAACAAATTAGAAAATCTCCAACTTGATGCACTCCGATTTATATCACTACAGGAGAGAAGAATATGGAGGGGGATCGTTGCACGAAGTATTTACAAAGTCAAACTTGAAAACAAGGCCTCGACTTTACAAAGTCATATTTCAACATTACACAATTACAAAATAAACCTTCCTAAAGTCAAAAAGTCAATGTACTTATTACAAAGTAGAGATATTGATAGTTTACTTTTCAAACTTTATTTCACATCAGACACCATTCAAACTTTCCTTTAAGAAAATGAATTCTTAACTTTGCATTATTGACATTATCAACTATGTCTTCCTGACTTTTCATTCGTGAAAGATGTAAGTTCGACCACTGTATTCTTGAGAGTTGTAAAGTCAACTTCTGCATTCTTGAACGTTTACCAAATAAGGTAACGTGACCTACTTCATTTACATAATCCGGAAATTCACGGAAACTAACGGAAATATAAATCAATAATTGCTCCTTGTCAAAGGGATTTAACTCTAAATAAGCCTCAAAACCGGATGTTCAAATGCGGCATTGGTCAATTGACATTTCGTCATTACTTGTATTGTAATTGTTGTAATTAAATCAAAAAACGAAAAATTTGTAATTCATTTCTTATTCAAATGAAACCTCTAAAAAGTCGTGTAATGAATAGAATCATTACATAGTTATCAACATTTTGGCCAGTGACGGATATCCGATATGGATATTGAAAAATGGCCAAATTTTTCCAATGGTCTCCTTTGGAATTGTGAATGCAATTGTTGGTGCCATTGACGTCCTGAGATGCCAATCTAACATATCAAGGTGTACAATGGGGAGAAATGCTTCTTATTCCTATAATCGCTAAAATATGGCCATTGACGAATATCCAATATGGCGGACTGGCCAGTCAAAGACAAAGCCAATTTTTGCACAGTCCACAGTAATGGGGGTGGGGCAGATTTTTGGATGGAATTGGCACAAACTCAATCACATATTGCCTTCAGACCTGTGAATATCCCTAAAATTCCAACATAATGGTATTTTCATGCTTAACTCTGTCACTGGCCAGTCAATGACGAAGCCTCTACCAATTTTTGAAAAATGGCAAATTTTTTCCTATGGTCTGCTATGGAATTATGAATGACATTTTTGGTGCCAGTGAGGTCCTGAGATGCCAATCTAACATATCTGGGTGTACAATGGGGAGAAATGCTTTTTATTCCTATAATCGCTAAAATATGGCCAGTGACGAATATCCAATATGGCATTTCAAACTTTTCAAACAGTAACAGAGTTAAGCATGAAAATACCATTATGTTGGAATTTTGGCGATATTCACAGGTCTGAAGGCACTACGTGATTGAGTTTGTGCCAATTCCATCCAAAAATCTGCCCCACCCCAATTACTGTGGACTGTGCAAAAATTGGCCATGTAGGGGCTTCTTCTTTGAGATGACTGGTTAGTCCGCCATATTTGATATTCGTCACTGGCCATATTTTAAAAAGCATTTCTCCCCATTGTACACCTTAATATGTTAGATTGGCATCTCAGGACCTCAATGGCACCAACAATTGCATTCACAATTCCAAAGGAGACCATTGGAAAAAATTTGCCATTTTTCAATATCCATATTGGCTATCCGTCACTGGCGAAAGAAATGTTGATAACTATGTAATGATTCTATTCATTACACGAATTTTTAGAGGCTTTATTTGAATAAGAAATGAATTACAAATTTTTCGTTTTTTGATTTAATTATAACAATTTCAATCAATCCAAAAAATTAGTGTATCCATCGGCCACAAAAATTGGCCGGCCACTGAAGTAATGACGAAATGTCAATTGACCAATGCCGCATTTGAAGTTTACTCCTCAATTGATTTTGAATAGATATACTTGTAATAAGCCTGCTTTCCAATTCATTCACAAGGTTTTGACTAATTTGTAATTAATATCTATTGCCGAAAGAACAAATGAATGTACACCAAATTTCATACAACGCAGAATTATTCAATCTTTAGTTCGTGAAAACTCTAGAAGACAAATATTCAATCTTCAGCGCGGTAATGAATAATAAAACGAAGTTTTGTCAAAATCCAGCAAGAACCATGCCTTCTACAGTTTTCATGAGCTACAAATTGAACGAGTTTTCAAGATCAAGGGCAATAACTCATACTAAATATTTTTTCGATTTTTCTGATTTTCAATAGGCTTTATCCTTGGGTGATAACAAACACTCAAGCCAAATTTCGTTAAAATCCATCAAGAAATGTGCCTTCTAGAGTGTTTACAAGCTAAAAATTGAACGCGTTTTCAAGAATAAGTGCAATAACTCATATTCAATATTTGTCGATTCTTCTGATTTTCAATAGGGTTTATCCTTGGGTGATAACCAACACTCAAGCCAAATTTCGTTAATATCCGTCAAGTATTGTTCCTTCTAGATTGTTTACAAGCTAAAATTTGAACGCGCTTTCAAGAACAAGGGCAATAACTCATACTAAATATTTTTCAATTTTTCTGTTTTTCCATACGGTTTATCCATGGGTGATAACCAACACTCATGCCAAGTTTCGTCAATATCCGTCAAGAATTGTGCCTTCTAGAGTGTTTACGAACTAAAAATTGAACGCGTTTTCAAGAACAAGGGCAATAACTAAATATTTTTCAATTTTCTGATTTTCGATAGGGTTTATCCTTGGGTGATTACAAACACTCACACCAAGTTTCCTCACAATCCATCAAGAATTGTGCCTTCTAGAGTGTTACAAGCTAAAATTGAACGCGTTTTCAAGAACAAGGGCAATAACTCATACTAAAATTTTTTCAATCTATCTGATTTTCGATAGGGTTTATCCTTTGGCGATTACGAACACTCATACCAAGTTTCATCAAAATCCGTCATGAATTGTACCTTCTAGAGTGTTTACGAGCGTTTCAAGAACAAGGGAAATAACTTTCTTCGATTCGCCTGATTTCCAATAGGGTTCATCCTTGGGTGATAACAAACAACCATACTAAGTTTCGTCGAAATCAGTCAAGAATTGTGCCTTCTAGAGTGTTTACGAGCAATTGTGGACGGACCGACCGACGGACGGAAAGAGGTGACGGCAATATACGCCCCCCATTTCATGTGGGCGTATAAAAAGGGGGGGAGAAGTTTTTGGGGGAAACGATTTTAAAATTTTGACGTTTTTGACAATTTTTTTCCATGAATTTGCCTTTATTTCGTGAATTTCATCCGACCCCCGCATTTAAAACATACTTGCATTGTTTACCTGGACTATATATAGGAGACGGACAAAATAAAGCAATATTATACTGCGACTGGGGAAGGAGTACCCCGGGGAAGGGTCTTCCTTGGGGTAAATGAGAGAGAAAAAAGGGGTGAAGAAGTTTTGGGGGGGAAATGATTTTAAAAATATGCCATTTTTGATTTTTTTTTTTCATGATTTTGCCTTTATTTCGTGAATCTTAACGGACCCCCGCATTTAAAACATACGTGCATGGTTTCCCGGGACTATACATAGGAGACAAAATAAAGCAATATTATACTGCGACCCCTACATTTAAAGCAATTTTTTACAAAATAAGCACCATCGAATATTGTTCACATTAAATGTTTATTTAATGTTTAATGTGCTAAAAATAATATTATAAACACTGGTCAATGAACATTTTTACATCAGTCTATCAAAATGTCGAATATAATATCTAGACACATTTTTGAAACATGGAAGGAAATACAAGACATTATCGGCCCAGCAAAAAATTAGCATACATCTGGCGCATTACGTCATGACCCGTTCTTGAATCAAGTCAAGAATTTTGCTCAGTGACAGTATATCGTTAAAATAATCCGGTCGCAAGTAAAACATACGTTTTAGCGGGATATTGCCCTCATTGCACCCTGCATGGCGTTGTCCGTCTTCATTAGCCCACATAAGACGTAAGACGTAAGTAAGACGTAAAACTCCATTAATTTCATTTCATTTCCAAATCAACGGAGAACGAAAAAACAAAACCTACAAGATTCTCTCCCTTACAAACTTGTCGGAAGTTCCATCCCAGAAAGCAACTGAAACGTCATCATATCAATTCAGACACCCCCCTCTAAGTCAAATTCAAGGTGTGGTTCAATATATGTTATTTGAATGATAAGAAAAAAAGGGAAAATACAAGTAAACTTTAACGTTTAGGCTCTTTATAGTCAGGTAAGAAATTTCATTATTCTGCAATTAGGCCTGTCCATTGAAAATGATGGGCAAATGGAGTTCAATGAACAAAGGAAATGACTTGTGAATTCTGGCGAGCGAATTTATTTTCATGAGACCTATTTGACCAATTCATTGTCCTATTTTGTTGTGTAAAATTTATAATATTGAGACCTTAGTGAATGAAATTACAACCTGGCATTGCTTTTGTCATTTTCTTATTGTGGATTTGAATTCCAGTCACCTCACGTAGAAATTAAATTATTTGAAATACTTAATATGAAACAAGGTCATCGGCCATTTTGTCCGACATCTTTATTGATCACAGTCAAAGAATTAGATGACATCATCGGGTTTTAGTTAAGCCTAAAATTAAAAGTAATGCATTAGTTTTGAAAATTTGCTATATTTTTTTTCTTTTCTTTGTCCGTATAATCAAATTGTGGTCACTTAACTTATAATACAGTGGTGTAACCTATTTTCGTGCATGTGTATAAGGATAGGCACCGAATTTCGTCAAAGTTAAAAAATAGCCCCCATTCAGTGCCCACTTATTGTTTCAAGTCCGCTCCAACAAAATCCGCGCGACGTAGACTTCACATACAAAAGTAAAACTATAGATGCTTGGTTAAGTCGCAGTTAAAAGTTCCCACAAATTTTTGGCTTACAGTACAGTCAAGTAACCTAATTTCGTGGAAACCTATTATTCGTGGATTTCCGGAAATAATTAATAATTTACATGAGCGACCTCCGCATTAGTTTGTTTTAATGAACATGGGTTTTCTGTACAATATCAGCTAGTAGAATGAATCCAGTATTTTCAAGCAAGGTAAAATGTATTAATGTATACTTTGACAAATGTACAAAATGGTGGATTTCACTTACTACCAAACGTCACCATTTTTTATCGGCCGAATTTCCTTATAATCCCAAGCGGTAATCGGAATTCCAAGTGTCGTCTGCTAGAATGTATTACAACGAATGAATTCACATGATCAATTAGCAGATTCCGTGTCAGCAGAAAATTTCTATGGAACACAAAGTGGACCGTATTTTTATGTTGTTTCAGCGACTTTTAGCAATAAATCATGCTACGTATCTTATTTTGTCAGTCGCTATTTTTTTTTTAAATCGTGGTTCTTTGAAGGAATTGTCACTAGTTATAATGAATTGAATTGCAAAAAAACTATATGAAATCGTATTTTTTTAAAATCTTTTTTATACGCCTATATATTGTCGTCGCCCCTGTCCGTCGGTCCGTCTGTCAACATTCCTTGTGAGCACTATAGAGACTACAGTTTTTATCTGATTTTGATAAAACTGGGTGTGATGCTTTAGATTGATAAGATCTCGGTCAAGTTCGAATTTGACATATTTTCGATGAACGTTTTTTGAGATATTGCCCTTGAAATTTGTTAAAAATTGTCCGTGAGCAGGATTGAAGCTACAATTTTCATCCGATTCTGATGAAACTTGTTGTGATCATTGGAATTGATAAGATCTCGGACAAGTTCTAACTTGACGCATTTTCGATTGAAATGTTTTTGAGTTATTGCCATTAACTTACGAAAAACGCGTCAAAATTTGTTTGTTAGCACAATAGAAGCTACAGTTATCAACCGATTTTGATGAAACTTGGTGTGATCATTGGAATTGATAAGATCTTGGACAAGTTCTAACAAGAGATATTTTTGATGAACATTTCTTGAGTTATTGCCCTTGACTTTGTAAACACGAGTCAAAAGTTGTTTTTTGCCCTTGATTAGAGCTGTGTGATTTAATTGTTTGTTGTATTTGGGTTATTGATATTGATTTTAAAAAATTTTGTGGAATTATTCAACATAAATAATTTCTTCAATATGAGAAAATTTGTACTTTAGTCACTAAAGACTGTTTTATCATTTCTGACAGCTGCCAGTGGGCGTATGTTAACTTGCATCGCAAGCTATCTTCATTCTTATAAACCTCGTACAATATTTTGAGTTCTTCGACCTATTCATCCAAAAACTCGTGTAATAGTACAGTATACGAGGTTTTTCGTTTTCATCCACAGAGAAAGGAACATTGAATCTCATATAATATGATATAATATATTACGAGGTTTTAAATATTACTGTTTTTAAACGTGTTATTTAATTAGTGGTTTTTGGGTTATTTACAATCAAGCTAAGAATGATAGCTTTTACGATCAAACGGAACCAAAATGAACCAATATGGCATAAGCTTAAATACAAGGTTTCAAGCCGTCACCCACGATTTGTGTATTGGATTTTTAAAATTTGTTTAAATTGTTATGTGTCTCATAAGCCTCTTCTGATTGGAAATGTCAATTTTTTTAATTTTTCTGTACCGGTATATATTTATATTCTAATGATTTGTGACACTTATTTAATAAAATAACTAATATAATTATTACAACTAGCAAACAAGAAAAGGTTTAATTAATGATAATCATTAATAAAATGACTATTACCCAATTAAAAGAGTTGATAATTAAATGATTAAAAGATTAATTAAGGTACCTCCACATAGTCTTTCTTTTCTCACCCTTTACATGAAAAGGCCATAGTTCTCTGAATCTGAATTGATCAGTATCCAGGCACATGCAGAGATGTGTAGCTCACAAGTCATCTGTGATCACAAAAACAACAAGAATTAGTTTTCTGTGAAAATTTTTTGTTTAATGAAAAACATTGAGGTAACTGACGCAACACGGGCGGTAAATGATGCAACCCGTGTGAATTTACAGTTCAACAAAAGCAATTATCATAGCAGAACCTCTTTCTTGATATAAAATAATCATAAAAACCTGAATTGCTGAAGTAATTAACAATGTTTGATAACTCATTTTTAAAGAAAAATTCATTTTTAACAATTTAACAATAAAAATACAACAACATAACATATTTTACAGAATAAATACAGGACTAGATCTGACAACTCATTTACCTGCGTCATTTTACTTGTGTTACACATTCTACATATTCTAGAAGTGTAGCCCCGGAGGGATTCAAATATATCACAAAAGTCAGTTCTCACAATGGTAATTGAAGCAACAGGCATGATCGGTTGCATTTTCTAATTCCAAATTTCTGCAAATGCCAACTGAATGGTTTTGATGTTCTTTATCTTGAAGTTTGTAAGGAAGCCATCCAGCAAGACTGGTCGAAATTTGTTAAAAATAGTTCTTGAGCAGGATTGACTCTACAGTTTTCAACCGATTCTGATGAAACTTGGTGTGATCATTGGAATTGATAAGATCTCGGACAAGTTCTAACTTGACGCATTTTCGATGAACGGTTTTTGAGTTATTGCCCTTGACTTTGTTAAAATGTGTCGAAATTTGTAAAAAATAGTTTGTGAGCAGGATTGATGCTACACTTTTCAACTGATTCTGATGAAACTTGGTGTGATCATTGGAATTGATAAGATCTCGGACAAGTTCTAACTTGATGCATTTTTGACGTACGGTTTTCGAGTTATTGCCCTTGACTTTGTAAAAAACGCGTCAAAATTGTTCGTGAGCGCAATAAAAGCTACGGTTTTCAACTGATTCTGATGAAACTTTATGTGATCATTGGAATTGATCTCGGACAAGTTCTAACAAGAGATATTTTTGATGAACATTTTTTGAGTTATTGCCCTTGACTTTGTAAACACACGTCAAAAGTTGTTTTTTGCCTTTGATTAGAGCTGTGTGATTTAATTGTTTGTTGTATTTGGGTTATTGATATTGATTTTAACAAATTTTGTGGAATTATTCAGCATGAATAATTTCTTCAATATGAGAAAATTTGTACTTTTGTCACTATAGAGTGTTTTATTTTTTCTGACAGCTGCCAGTGGGCGTATGTTACCTTGCAACGCAAGCTATCTTAAAGAAATAAGAACATAGGATTTAGATTTGAAAATTTTAATATTTTTGGAATCAATTATGTACTTATGTTTCTTTAAAAAGGAAAAAAAATCTTTCTTCAAAATTATTTTTCTATGTTGGTAATGTAACATGTGAACAGACAGTTCATACATTATTTTACAAAATCTCAAAAATTAATGTGTATTGCTTTATATTTCTTGCAAGTAGAATTGGAAATGTAGGTGAATGAAAGGAATTGTTTCCATTTTTTATAATGAAAGATGGTACAAGGTCTAAAAATCAAGTGTACAGTTTATTGCTAATGTTACATGAGGATGGAAGATCATTCATTAATTTTCATGAAAACCAATAAAAAATACAAATAACATCTGAAATTTACTCTAATCAAATTTGTACAGAACCCTGGTTCCCAGCATTTCGATAGTTGGCGAATCCAAAACTCTATCAACATCTGCTGGAATAATTGTGTGTTTAGTCTCTCCAATGACCCATGAGTTGTTGTTTTTTTTTGGAGAAAAAGGTAATCCATGGCCAGCTTTCCACGACCTGAAATAACCAGAAAACCACTTTTAATAATTTATACACTATAAAAGGAATCTACAATAACTTGTCAAATTGTCCAGTCAGCTGCCAACTTTAAAACCAATTATCAACTTCTTAGGTGTCCTTGATATACTTTACAAATTAGCTCGACCAAACTGAACTCTCTTGACTTAATGTGTTCAGTATCATTAACAGGTAACATAGTAAGATGATTGAAAGTTAAAGCCTGAAATATTAAAGGGATTGTAAAGAGGTTTTCTTTAACTAACATAGATATTGCATAGATATAAATAGTAGGTCCCCTCGAGTGACATCATAAAATGCGCCAGTTTGTGTCTAATTGCAAGAACCACATGAAAATGAAAATTGGAAAAGGGTAAACTGATGCTATCAGTGTCTCCGATACACATTAAAAGTATAGAAAAACCTCTTTACAATCTCTTTAAGGCTGTTAAACAATACGAGCAAATAAAAAACAATAAAACACTAGAGCCACTCGTGGCTCAAATTTGCAAAATGCAAAAGACCCTGAAAAAATCAACCTTCGACGATAATTAGATCAAGCGCAAGAACAGTGTAA